CTTTGTGCTTTGTGCTTTTGCATAGTATTATCAGCATTATACTTTGTTCGAAATACCCACTTGAGCCCAATTGCTCTCTTGCCTTTTGGAAGATTAACTAACTCCCATGTATCATTCTTCTCGATACAATTCATCTCTTCAATCATTGCATTTTTCCAAACTTGCTCTTTTTTAGCATCCACATATGACTCAAGATCTGAAACAAAAAGAGCATAATTACAATATTCATAAATCTCTATCAAAGATCGAACCTTTCTGGGTGGAGTTTCACTTGAGGAGCTAGTGAATGAACTTGCTGGTGAAGATGTAATTCTATCTACACTGGAAGGTGATGATTGTGGTGTTTGTGAGCTATTACCACCTGATGTAGATAACTCTAAACCTATTTGGTCCAGTTTAGAGTTTCCTGCTTCAAAACTTATTGGAACGGAAACAGATTTTTCATCTGCCTTGCTACTCCATTTCCAACTAACTTCTTCATGAAAAACAACATTCCTACTAATAATTATCTTGCCACTAACTAGATTATACAACCTATAAGCTTTGGATTGTAGGCTATAAACAATAAAAATGCATTTTTCGGATTTTTCATCAAGTTTTTGACAAGATGATTTTACCAAAGCATAGGCTATACAACCAAAAAACTTTTAAGTGGCTTACCCGAGGCTTTACACCTCTCCATGCTTCATAAGGTTTCATGTTAAGGACTGCTTTTGTGGGAGAAAGATTAAGCAAATGCACTGCTGTAGCTACTGCTTCTACGCAAAACTAATTTGGAAGGCCTCTGGCTTTCATCATGCTTCTAGCCATTTCAATCACAATTCAATTCTTCTGTTCAGCAATGCCATTTTGCTCTGGCATATGTCGTGAAGTGAGTTTCTTGTGAATACCATTTTCCTCACAAAAGCTAGCAAATTCATTAGAACAAAATTCTCCTCCTCTATCTGTACGCAGAACCTTTATGCAACAATCACTTTGCTTCTCTATAAGAACTTTAAATTTCTTGAAATTTTCAAACACTTTAGATTTTAATTTCAAGAAATAAACCTAGGTCATTCTGCTATAATCATTAGTGAACAACAGAAAATACTGATTGCCATTCAAAGATTCAGTATTCATTGGCCTGCACAAATTTGCATGTATCAATTCAAGACATTGAGAAGCCCTCTAAGACTTCCCTATAGGAAAAGATTTTTTACTCTGTTTTCCCAAAACACAGCCTTCACAAAAATTAATAGCATCAATATTTGGCAGCCCAAAAACCATATCCTTTTTACTCAACAATTGCAACCCATTAAGATGCAAATGACCATATCGTAAATGCCACAAATCAGAACTACTAACTTCTTTAACAGCCAAAGCTCTTTTTATAACAGAAGAAATGTCAATAAGAAAGATTCTATTTTCAGTCATGGGAAATTTTGCAACTGTTTGACCAGACTTCTTATAAAAAACATCACAACAAAAATCATTAAATGTGAATCTAAAGCCATTTTCCATTATTTTTCCCACAATAAATTATTAGCAAAACTAGGCACAAGCAAAACATCATTCAACAACTTCTTTTTACCATGGTTATTATGAACAGCAATCATACCTCTACCTCCTACTTGAACTTGCTTATCATCACCAAGTTGAACATCAGATTTGTGTGATTCATCTAGCTCTTCAAACAGTGAACGTGTGCTAGTCAGATAATTGGAGCACTCGCTATCAATAAACTATATATCTTTTGAAGACTGAGTGTCTAGGAAATGTACCATAAACAAGGTTTCTCCCTCTGTCTCTACAAAGTCAGTATGCTTTTTTTCACCTCTCTGCTTTGCCCAACAGTCTGCCTCCTTGTGTCCAAGTTTCTTGCACCAATGACATTGAATAGAGCCTTTCTAGAAAGCTCCAGATTGCTTTGGCTCATTTGATTGATTGCGGCCTTTGCCATTACCACGGCCTCTACCTCTACCTCTTCCATGGAAACCACCTTTACTATTGCCTCTGCCTGCAGTCCCCCTTCATCTGAAAAGCCTGCTCTTCTCTTTTCTCTTGAAACTGATTCATCCTGTCCTCATGAGTTTACAGGGAACTCATTAATTCATCAAAATAATACTTTGACATATCATGTGCCTCCTCAATTGCAACAACAACAAAATTAAAATGAGGAGTAAGAGTTCATAGAATTTTTGCAACAATTGTTTCATTTTTTAACCACAGAACTAGCTCTAGACAAGTAATCTTGTACAGACTCAGCCTTTTGCATCTTGAAATTCTCAAATTCATGACGGAGTGATTGGAGTTTTACAGAGATTACCTTGTTAGGGCCTTGAAACTTAGTCTTCAAAATTTGTCATGCCTCTTTAGAAGTCACTGCGGAAGCGATTCTGGAAAAGAGATTGTCGTGCACGGCTTGCAAGAGGAAAAATAATGCTTTTGCATCACGCTTTTTATTTTCTTTTAGACGTTGCTAGCCTGTATTTGAATCTGTGAAACCGTCCTCAACCAAATCCCATAAGTCTTGAGAGGGAAAATGGGTCTTCATTCAGATAGACCAAAACTCATATTTATCCCTGTTGAAAATAGGAATCAACAGTTGGGAGTTTGTACAAAACCCATTGGTTGCTGCGGAAATTCCGTTCATTGTCATCTACGTAGCCGCCACGGTCAATTGAAAGAGTAATAGCGGAAGATGCCTTGTAGACTGAAGAAGAGGAAAAAGGGAATGCTGCAGTGCGATGGATATTTTTCTCTCTTGGTATCACTCTCTCACGGGAAGGCTATGTCACTCGTGCACTGTGTCGCTCTCACACGGAAGAAAAATGAAGCTGTGATGCTCTCTCTCTCAAGTAGAAGGAAACTCACTGGCTCGGATACCACTTTTGTCAGTGGAATAGAATAACAAAATAGAGAAGGCAGATGAATTGCATTACTTTATTGATGAATATTGCAGCAAATATATAATAGTACACTGACTTGAAGGGACGACTCAATTTCTGAAAAATAAACTGAATAAAAGAGAGTGGGAGAGTGGGGATATGGAATAGATGGGATTGGTTTTGACTCATTCAAACTGATAATAAAATAATTAAATAATTGACTCTAAAAATAATTGAAGCATCAATCAACATAAACATGTCCAGGATAGGATCTGCTAGGTATGAAGTCTCTTTGTCAATAGATTGTAGGTATTGTTTTATCAGAGGTCTGGCGTCGTAGGATGATGCCATGATGATGACAGAAATCACAAGTACAGAACTGGGCAATTTCCACCACTTGGGGGCGGAAGATGAAGCTCTTATGTGGAGCTATGAAATAAACCAACGGGGAAAAGAAAGAATTGTGTTGATAATATTCTCTTACCCAAGTTAAAGTTGGCCCCATCCATCCCATTTCATATCAAATAGTTTTTGTTAGGAGATAAAACCTAGTTCAAGGTCAGGTTAATTTCTCTAATCAATACGCTTGTTATTTTGATATGGTTACATTAGTTAAATTGCGTATATATGCTCATAAATTCGCCTATAAAATATGGACACTTCTATTTTTATTATTCTTAGTTAAAATGTGCACCTATAAATTTAACTTATTGTATATTAAACAAATTGACCTAAATTTTGTCTAGATATTGTATTATTTAAAATTTTGTAAATATGAAACTTCGGTTGATATATACATGAAAATATGTCTAATTTGACCCAAAAAAAGAGAACCAATGCTGTTTTTTATCGTCAAATTGAGGTCGACAATTTAACATATGATAATGAATGATATAAAAATAAAATTTTAAACAAGTATTAAAAATAATACAAATATATTGGATATTCTTATCAATCAAACCAAATTAGAAAAAGAAACAAAAAGGGGGGGGGTTTTCCATCTTTCAAGTGGCATTAGAATATTACAGATGATTTCCTCTCCCACAAGTAAGATATAAGTTCAAATTGTGCTTGTCACTTCTCACCTTCTTGTTTTACTTTTTTTTTCTCAATTTAATCTGTTCTATTCCAGTTGGAGCGTTTGGGAATTATACTTTCAAAAATGACGCAAATTAAACTCTTTTAAATCATGATGTTTTTATCTTGTACAAAGCAAAATTATTTAAAATAATAATTCAAACTTCTTTTGATGAAAAAGTCTAAATTTAGTACTCGTATTTCATATAGCATTACAAGATTAAAATGTCATTAATAAAATTATATCAACCGAGAAATTGCCGGGTAGCGTAGGGAAGTGTCCATGCAATGAAATGTTTAATACCAGTAAAATTTAATATAAAGCGAGCGTTCCACCAAGGGAGATGGATCGGAGGCAAGTTAGCTTCAGGCTCACGTCCTCATTCCCTTATCCCCACAGATAACGTTCCCATCTCTTACGCTCTGAGCATGTCGAGCACAACAAAAACACATCCAATGCTCGAACTGCTGCGTCAACTCAAGAAGACCTTCGACGAAACCTTTGAAGAGGTAGACAAAGATGTCAAGAAGACGGTCGACCAGTATTCGAAGAATCAATTCCTACTAGACGCAAAGTCGGAACAGGAACTGCGCCCCAAGTTCTCGAAGCTGCATCATCACCTCAGCAAAATTACCGAACCCTCTCATTCCCGTTCTATCCGTGAGGAGCTCGCTCAAATAAACAAGGTTCTGGGCCGACGTGCCAGTGACGTCAATCAAGAAGATCTCCCAGCTTTATCTGAAACGGAGCTGGATATTATAGACAACGCGGAAGAGGATCAGCTCGTGAAACGTCTTCGGGTGAGCTACGAATTTTTCTTCGGACTTGATGAACTTAAGCGTGACCCCAGAATTTGCTTGTTTCTGGCAATTTTCCCTCGAAATGCTGTTCTGAGGAAAAGGTTTCTTATTTATTGGTGGATTGGGGAAGGGTTGGTCCCGCACGAAGAAGAAGGCGAAAGAGTATTTGAAGAGCTTTTAGATTTAGAATAACTCATACCACATGGCAAGTGCCCAAGGGTGAGTAAATGTCAAATTTCCCCTTGGGTCCGTTGCATGTTGATCGCACTGGCCAAGAAAGAGAGGCTTTTGGACAGAAAGGAAAAGATGCCACATTTTGATCTGGCCCAATCCCGGCGTACTTGTTTGATCGCTGGTCACTCTGATTTGAGAATTAAAGCAGAATCCACACCGGAGAATTTGAGGATCATTTTTAATGTGAACGAAAGAGATCTTCATTTTCAAGACCAATGGCTTGCTATACTGAAGAGATTGGTGGTGCTTCAGCTTGGTCATTGGCAGGTTTCTCCCACCCATCACATTGGAGTTCAAGACGAATCGTTCCTAGCTGGGGGTTTGAAGACCCAGAAGCTGCTCAAGTATCTCAGCCTCCGGGGGATTTCAAGCATAACTTCACTTCCTGAGTCCATCAGAGAACTGGTCAGCCTCGAAATTCTGGACCTCAAGGCTTGTCATAATCTAGAAAACTTGCCTGATGGGGTTGCATCCTTGCAAAAGCTAGCACATTTGGATGTGTCAGAATGTTACTTGATGGAAAGCTTGCCAAAGGGGCTCCACAACCTCACATCGCTCCAAGTGCTGAAGGGATTCATAATAGGCAATTCTCAGAAGACTGTCATTAGATTAGAGCATCTTCCAAATCTGAACACTCTGAAGCGATTGAGCATACATATGGGGAGTGAGGCTACCATCCAGAAAGATGATTTCGACAAGCTGAAGGATTTGCCAAAGGTCAAGTGTCTGAAAATATCTTGGGGGAAAGTAGCCGTTTTACGCTCTGTGTCTTTTACGCCAGAGCTACAAGAACTGGATCTTGAAGGCATTCCTGACAAGAATATGGCAGGATGGTTAACGTCCAGCCAACTGACGGAGCTGGAGACGCTATACATTAAGGGAGGAAAGCTCAGTAATTTATCAAGCAATGGCGAGCTGTGGAAAGTGAAATATTTGGTCCTCAAGTATACCAAGATGCCGAAAATAATTAACGAAGAAACTCTCAAGCCTATGTTTCCTTGGCTCCAATACGTGAAGAAGGTTAAGTGGGTCACAAGTGTTAAGCAAGAAGTTGAGTTTGAGTGGCCTTAAACAAGGACGAGGCCATTGAGTTTCAAAACAATTTTCACTTCCAAGTTATATATGAAATAAAAGAATATTTGTGGCAGATAATTGTTTGGAACTTAATATCATTTTCCCAACCAAGATCATAGAAGAGATGATACTTTCCTCTGTTCTGGTTGATTTTGTTGTTTGCCTTTTCATCTTGTTGTATTGGGTGTTGTTGATGAAGTCTTTTGATTTTTGATGCTACCAAATATTAAGACACATCGCAAATATACGGTTCATAAAAATAGAAAGTGACAAATCAAGGTCGATCCTACAAAAAAAAACTCAGTTAACAGTGATTAGGTAATAAAAATCTTTTTTCCGTTTAAGTTGAGTAAATCAAAATTGAGTGAAAACAAACAAAACAAACCTTTATCAAATTAATTTAAGCAAATGTTAAAAAGACAAACCTAAAGTTACCAATCCCTTGCTAATTTCTTAAACCTTGTTCACTGAATTGATTAGTTTTAATGTCAATTTTGTTAATCTAGAATTCAATTAGCTATAAGTGCATGTCAATTCACTTATAACCCTCTCTTAACTTAATCATGTAATCTCTCACACAATCACCAAAGAGGCTAAACAATTCGGTCTCACTCATCAACAATTATACAGGGCAATTAGGTATATTTTTATCCTATTTAATTGAATTGAATAGTCACCTATCAAACTTATGGCTTGGTGGTGGAAGTGTATTGCTTTGCTTGCTTTCACCTCTTGATCCCAGAATTCAAATCGGACAATCTGATTCACACAGTTGAATGTAAGGGTCATCAATGGCAGATTTGCCCAGTGGTTCTGCGAGATTCTGGACTCAGGCTAACGCTTTCCTTCAGAAAAACTTGACTTTACGGGTTCCTCTCTGCTTCTCTTTCTCTCCATTCCTTTTCTTAACGTTTCATGTTGTTCTCTGGGGGCTCTAAACGAGGTTGTTGGTCTAAGCACTTTAAATCCAGAGGCTCTTTCGGAGCTTTTAACTTCTATTTAAGCTTTTAACTAGCATATCTTAACTACGGATACAATTGTTTTTTGAAGCAGCCTTGCTTTTTTTTTTTTTTGATGCATACAGATTCAAAACACTACCTAAAGCAACACCGTAAAGTATCTGCAGAAACTAAATCAGAAATAAAAGCAGGTGTAGTCGAAAAACACGTGACCCCTGCTGCAGCGCCCAAAGCTTCCTTTGCTAATCTGTCTGCTACCACGCTAGACTCCCTTCTACACCAGATGACATGCACGACCCACTCCCGTTGTAAGAAAGCCCCAATCTCAACCATCGTTCCTCCCAGGTCAGGATCATTAACATCCAGATTGTTTATACATTCAACCAGATCAAGACAATCCGATTCCACAACAATATACTTATAACCTTTATCCCACGCCACCTTCAATCCCAAAAGAACACCCCAGCTTTCTGCATAGTAACTGTCTCCTGGACCTAAATTGCACAGAAAACCAGTTAACACCACACCCTTATTGTCCCGTAAGATCCCCCCACATGCTGCAATCTCATTTCCAGACGTAGAAGCTCCATCCACATTTATTTTAATGTATCCATCGTCAGGCGCCTGCCAGTTCTCCACACCAGTCACATGAGAGCCACTGTCATAAATCCTTCCCATCCCACATGACGCCTCAGCTTTAACCCTTGCCAGTAAGCCAACAGCATTTGGCCTCTCCCCATCGAACACTCTCTCATTTCGGGACAGCCAAAGAGCTCTACAAACCAACGCAAACCAGATGTCCCACCTAACCCCATCCACGGTAACCCGCTGTTTCAAATTCCAAGATAACCAAGCTTTCAAGTCGTTACTGAGAAAAAACACAGACAGGTAGCTACGCGGAAGCCATCTAGACCAGACTTCATATGCCTCCTGACAATCCCTTAGAATATGAAGCAGGTCCTCCGTTCTGTTTGTACAAATAGAACAACTAGCCGAACCTGTCCAACCCCGCTGTAGGCGAACCTCATTAGTCATAAGCCGATTATGAATTTATGATAACACAGCCAAATAAAAGTTTTACACCTCTGAGGCACCTGAAGCTTGAAGCAGCCTTGCTGATTGTAGTATAAGCTTATAACATATCGACTGAAACTGGGATTATTTTCTTCCAGGATTCTTGTGTAGATTTGTTTAGAGTCTGGTATGCATGTATTTCAATTTGATGGGTTTGAAGCAGACACCTCTCATTCTTAAACCTATTGCGTCTGGGAAAATATATTTTCTGTGGCTTTTGTCTGATGATAATACACAAATGTCTTTGTTTAAGGAAACAAAAAAAAAGTATATTTTTATCATAATCACAAATTAGATTATTATTCAATCCCATATCACTTAATCTAAGAGCTTAATTAAAATTCCCTTTATCAAAAAAAAATTTAATTCTCAAATGCATAACTAATGGTGGCCAGTCATTAAATGGACAATAAAAAACGAGATTAAGTAACCAAAATTTAATATTAAACAACTTCAATTCAATTCAGTGAAAACAAAACTCAATCCACTAATAAATTCATAGTTCCTCTAGGCTATAAAAAGAAAATTAGCTACACATGACATCAAACAAAACCATCCCAGCAACAATAATTTCAGATTCAAAATTCATAATCGAAATCGAAGGGGTAAAAAAACAGAACACTGCTAATGGTCTCCTCTCCTCAAACCATCGCCTGGACTCGTCCTCTCAAGGTCATGGCTGTTGCCATTTTCTTGCGGAACCAGTCGGCCACCAGCAGAGAAGAAGATGATCCGAATAGTGTCGAGAACACAGCCTCTCTACACCCAGTTCAGCTCCTCCCTTCAAGACCCAGCCGAATCCGCCGGTCAGTGTTTTTCCTCTCTTAGAGGGTGTTTGGATAAAACCAAACTATAGCTTGGAAAATAACTTCTGAAAAATAGATTTTTTGAAAAATGATTCTGATAAAATGAAAATGTTTGGATAGTTGTTATTAGAAGCATTTTTTATATGTGCAAATTACTAAAAAAATTATAAGTTAATATGATAATTACATAAAAAAATATATTTTATGATATATTTTAATTTGAAGAAATAAAATTGTTAATAATATATTTGTTACCAACATAATTAATAATATATAAGATAATATAATTAATATGTGTATATATATTTATAAAATATAATATTAAATATATTTATAAAAAAATAATTGAGGGGTGTTAAAGTCATATTATCATTAAGATATATTCTAATAGGTATAATGATACTCTCTAATTTGAGGTAGAAGCAAAATAGATTCACTTTTTCTGAAATCATAGTTTGTTAAATTCCCTCCCTTGTTTGGCAAATCTGGGATCCAAACCAAATCATGGTTTTCTTGTTACCCAAACAGCCCTTAAACGATGAAGAATCCACCTTAACAGTTCGGCCCCTTTCCCTTCAACCAGTTCGGCGCTTCCAGACCATCCTTTTTTCAAGATGATGATGAACAGCCCTCTAGGTCTCCAAAGTCTGCCATAAACGCTGCGTCTCGTTTTTCCACAATCAACTTCCAACATTCGGACTCCTCAAAACGGTGTGCATCTGGTCATGACATTAGGGGTGTGCATGGACTAGATTAGACTGGGTTTGTTATCAACCCGAAGTCTGGTCTAGTAAAGACCTCGAGCTGAAAAAGACAGCTCGAGGTCTGGTCCAGTCCAGTACCAACCCGAGGTCGGGTTGGATTGGACTTGGTCATCTAGATTGTCTGGACCAGTCCAGGCAGTCCATAACCTAAATTTAATTTTTTAAAAAAAAATTTCTTCAATAGGAGGCAAGATTATAACTTACTATATAAAATTTTGCACATATTGTAATCCAAAGTTCATCAAATTTGATCATTCCCTTTCAATTTCCTAATAATGTCATGTTTTATTAATTAATCTTCATTAATATAGATCTTATATTATAGAAAATATATACGTATACTCATTACTTAGGAAGTTAATAGGTAAATCTTGATGATTTGAATAGACATAAAACTTATATAGAAAAATTAAATCAAATTAAAATTATATAAATAATAATTAAAAATAAAAAAATCAGACTGGACTGGACTGGACCAACTCGTCCGAGAGGCCAATCCCTAGTCCAGTCCAGCCCGATGAGACCAGTCCGGTCCAGTTTGGTCTAGTCTTATTTCGGGCCAATTTTTTCTGGACCGGGTTTGCTGGGGTTGGACCGGACCATGCCGAACCACCTGGTTTTTGCACAGTCCTAGATAACATAATCTTAACTCCTCAAATTATTTCAAACTACGTTAATTTCTTTTAAAACTAGGATATTAACAAGAAAATCCCCCCAAATAATGCTCACAATTAAAGCTTCCATTTAACTCTTAGAAATCTCTTAAAATGTATTGATAACTTTTCAAAAATCACTCAAAATATTGTTTATATATATAAAAATAGAGAGTCATCAATTTTCACAATTCAGAAGGTTAATTAAGAAATAAAAAAGTAAAAAAAGTTCAGTAGTCACATATTTACGTCAAATCTTCTTCTTCTTTTGCGCCATGTATGTTTATATAGATTGAGATGATAGTATAACCAAAACAATTTATAGGCTTGAGAAGTTTTCTTTCCTACTTTGAATAAAAACAAAGAATTGAGATAAAAGATGAATGTACAACGGAAAGAATTTATAAATATTGGTTAAAGAATACATATTGTGCAGCCATGGGGTAAAAGATAAAATAACACCAAATTCATCTGTAGGAAACATTGGTCTGCTACTCTCTGTACTACTATATATGATTATTACGAAATTAATGAAAAAAATAAAAGTGCCTAAAGAAAAAAATTCAAAAAGAATACGAAGTTAGGAAAAAGATTAAAAAAAATAAACTTGACGTTTTACTGCATCTCAAACACAAATACCTAGTCAACAATTATAAAAATTATAAAGTTTAAAAAATAATTATGTACCTAATACTTGACAAAATTAAAACTTGAGGCGTGTGGATATATATATATATATATATTTAAATCCATGAGAAATAGATAGTCAAATTTCTTATTTCCTATCAATCGAGATATGTTAGTTTTCATAAATTATTTAATTTATAACAAATTTTTTATTTATTAATATCACTGTTATTTAAAACCTGGTCACTTGTTTTGATGTGATTGAAAAAAGTGTAAAAGTATATAAAGTTAAATACTGATGTCCTGTTTGGTTAGAATACATGAATGGGGATTACATGTAATCATGATGCAAAAGACTAATTCAGTTGTTTGGTTGCACTTATGTAATTACATTTTGCAATCCTCATTCCCTTAGAAGGCTGCATCTTGATTACATAGCTAGATTCTATGAATGAGAATTACAGCATGAGAAAAATACAACACTGTCCTTAAAATAAAGTCACAAACTGTCGACACCTCCTCTTCCATCTCTACGGCAAATGTTGTGCTCTATTATTGTGGGTGTCCTAGTTTCACTCCATTAAACTTCTTCTTCTCACAGCATTGCAGCTCCACGATTCCATTTTCTTCCCAGATTTACTTTCATATTGACCTCCGAACTAATGGACGGCAGTCTACCTCCTTACTCCACCTTCTAGATTTGAATCCTCATTAACTTTTCACACACTCCAATCTTTTTTTGTCTTTCACAGATATTGTTTGACCCAATAATTTTGCAATTCTATTTTTGCTTTGAATTTTACCTTGGATTATGTTTTAGGTTCTTGATTACAGTGATAGAGGAGGAAGGAGAAGAAGGAAGTAGGGCAGAAGGGAAGGAACTAGGAAAGAAAGAGAAGGGTATCTCAGTCTTTTTAAATTTTATGATTTCTAAATTTAATATACAAATTATTATTTTTCTTAATATTGTCAAGATTAACCAAACATACTTATTGTAATCCTCTTTACATTACATTCCATTCCCTACTATAACATTAGATTCCATTATTTATGATTCTATGAACCAAACGAGTCATAAGTCTTTCCCTCTAACAAATTAATATATATTTTCATATATATTAGAATATATGTGTGTATGGAGAGGATCCCATGATCAGCACTAAAGCTCTTCGGGAAGCCTACAACATGGAGAGATTAGTTACTCAGTTAATACATTGGACTCAAAAAAAAAAACAGAATATATAGAAATGTATGCACTGTAATCCTCTATTGCTATTTCTAAAATAGATAGAAAAATTTTTTTAATCATATTTATAAGTCATATTATTAAAATTTTTATACAAATTTACCCATAATGTATTATTCCCGCCGATTCTTTTTATAAGATTTTTAACTAAATTATATGCTATGAAAAAAAACAGTTAAGATTAACTAAAAACAATAAATATATAAGAATTAAAAAAATTAGTATGTCCTTATTTAAAAAAAGAAGCAAGTAAAAGAAGGAAATACTTATAATAAGATAAAGGAAGAAAGAATAAGTAGTATGAGAAAAAGATAAGAAAATAAAATAAAAAATTGATTAGGAGCAAAAATTATAAAAATGTATTTCATGTTTAGACAACCCTAAGTAGAATTTTATAAAATAGATCAAATCAATTGAAGTTTTGGGATTTTATAAAAAGGATTATTGGAGGGAGTATTGTGTAGGCTTTATTCTTATGAGGCATAATCTAATATTAAATGGGGCGAAGTTAGGAAGTGAAGTTAGAGTTGCTCCTTTGGTCCTATTCATATGACATTTTTAATATATTTTACGTGGTTAAACTGTATTAACTTTTCTTTAAAATATGATAACTTTCCTACATTGCCTTTATTTAATGTATACAACTTTAAAAAAAATAATCATCTACATCATAATAAGTAAATGACAAAATAATGCATTCATATTAAAAATTTAATGAGGTGATTTATAAATAAGATAAAAAAAAATTTCTCTCTGCTTTGTAAATAAGAAGAGAGGAGTATGAAATTTTAGAGTAAAATACTCTCATTACCCTTCTAGTTTGCATTAATTACAAAGACCTCCCATCTATTTTAAAAACATGCAGTTTAATCCAATTATTTAACACCGTTAGGGATATTCTAAAAAGATTCTAAAAATATTATTTTTAACTGAAATTTATATTAAAATAAATTTTATTTACCATTTTATCTCTCATTCTAATAAATTTATAAATTATATTTTTACAGTTACATCAATTTCATTCAGTTAAGATAAATATATATACTTTATTGAATATGTTTATAAATTTTTGTAACAAAGATGTGTTTGAAAGTTTTGAATTATAAATTTAATTAATTTATAAAAATTTTTAAATTTATATCATTTAAATTTTATGATAAACAAAAATTATATATTTAAAATATATCTTTATAATTTTAAAAAAATCAAAGTAAATAATTTCTAGTGAATGTAATAAAATATTAAAATTATAAAATTTTATGATTTAGATCAAAATTAATAAATTCTATAACATATTAGAAATTTTAAAAATAATTATTTTTTATTTTATAAAAACAGTTTTTGAAAAATATAAATATCTAAATAAGTATTAAGTTAAAAAGGGGTATTTTGGTCAAAAAAGAATTTAGAATCAAACTTAACGATCAATTAACTAGTTGGGTAGATGAAAATAAAATCTTAAATACAAAAAGGAGGTTTATGTAACATATGTTTTAATTGTAAGAAAGACTTATACAAATTTTTAAAATAAAAGCAAGGTTTATGTAATTGAGATAAAATAGAAGGGTGATCAGTGTATTTCACTCTAAATTTTAAGGTTAGTTAATGTTGTTTAATATTTTTATTGATTTCAACAGAAGGAGGTTGTATATCTTGACGTTGCATTACATTTAAGAATAAATGATGGATCCGTTTGAATCAGTGATTAGAAAAACAGCTTATTGAAAAAGTAGCTTATGGAAAAGTGAAGTTGGGTAAAAGCTAAATTACATAAGCTGAATTGTGTTTGAATTGGAGTTCAGAAAAGCCAGTTTGCAAAAGTGATATTGGTAAAAGGTTGTTTTGATTATGGTTGAGTAAAAGTAAATTTGGTTGTAAAATGAACAAAATAGATATGAGTTTTAATAAATAATGAAACATGATTAAAAAAATAATTTTACATAATATAATGAAATTAAAATAATTTAATATGAAGAAGTCATAAAAAATATTTTAAATATAAAGTAAAACATGAAAAAATAAAAGTATATTTTAGGAGCATATTTAAAAATAAAAGTATATTTCTAATTTATTCATTACTTTGAACTAATTTTAACTGATTTTTTTATTATTTACAAATTAATTATTTGAGGCTTATAATAAGAACCAAAAGAGGTAATAAATTTTTTAACTTTCTCTCTCTCCATATTTCAAAAGCTATAAATCATAAGCTATAAGTTATAAGCTAGTAATTTTAGCTTATAACTTATTATAACTTTTCATATAAAAGCCCGATTGCAGAAAAGCTCAAACCAAACACTCAAAATTTTCCAATCTAGCTTATAGTGAAAATAAACTGCTTATAAGCTACTTATAATTGATGCCAAACAGACACGATGTGTATCGCGTGGCTCTTGCCGGCAAGATGCCAAACTTGATTTAAACATTTAAAAAAGGGAAAGAATAAATTAAAGAAAAGGAAAAAATTAAAGAAAAGAATAACTAAAGCGGGCATGCATGGGGCCATGGGGCCGCATGTACCGTTTTTAAATAATGGCTTCCTACATATGGGGATGGAGATTCCCAAATCCGCAACGAAATTTCCATCAACCACGATATATAGGAGATCACACACACCCAAGGTTATAACTTGTATTTTGTGAGTCTCAAACATGCTTTCTTCCATCTCACAATTTCAGAAGCTGATATGGGGCCAGTGGAACATCCGCATAATTATCCTCTTCAGTCTCTTCCTTCAGATCTTCCTCATCGTTTCTGCTCCCTACAGAAAACGCATCAGAGGAGGCTTCTTCATATTCTTTGTCTGGTTGGCTTATCTTCTCGCCGACTGGGCAGCTGGCTACTGCATTGGACTCATCTCCAACAATCAAGAGCAAAAAGCCACCCTCACACAAAACGATTACCTCATGGCATTTTGGGGCCCTTTCCTTCTCCTGCACCTGGGTGGCCCTGACACCATCACTGCGTTTTCTCTGGAGGACAATGAGCTCTGGCTCAGGCACCTTCTTGGCCTCGTTTTCCAGTCAGTCACAACTGCTTATGTCTTCCTTTTGACCGTCCCCCGGAACCCATTATGGTTGCCGACGATATTGATGTTTGTTGCCGGATTAATCAAGTACGCTGAGAGAACTCACGCTCTGTACATCGCGGCCATCAATAATTTCAGGAAGTCCTTACCTCCAGAGCAGCATGGGGAGACCACTTATGAGAAGCTCATGGATGCGTACTCTTATAGGGAAGCGGCCGGCCTTCCAGCCGAAACAATCATGATTCTGGAGCCTGGTGAGACGGGAAAAGATGGGAGCAGAAATCAGGAAACAGAGGGAGAGAAAAATGAAGGGTAAAATTGACTTGTATTACTGAGTTAACATCACTTATTAAAGCTCCCCTAAATAAATAGCAGATTAACAGATCTTATACTTTATCATTATTACAGCGTGTCAGCTGCTGTTGCGCCATCCAAAGATGGAAAGGAGATCGCGGCGATTGATATTTGCATACTTGAGTTGGTGCAGAAAGCTTTCTCCTTCTTCCTCAAGTTTCAAGGTCTCGTCGTTGACATGATATACAGCATCAAAGACCCGTACGACAGCCGGAGATATTTTCAAAGCAAATCGGCAGAAGAGGCCCTCATACTCATAGAAGTTCAGCTCAATTTCATGTATGAAGCTTTCTACACCAAGGCCTCGGTGATTCGCCAATATTGGTTCTGGTTCTGGGGAAAATTTATTTCCTTAGTGTCCATTACGGCCACCATCGTACTCTTCATTAAGGCAGACAGGCATAGTTTCGACAAGTTGGATGTTAGGGTGACTTATGCGTTGCTGTTTGGCGCTCTGTTCCTGGATGTCATGGCTCTTTTCAAGCGTTTTTTCACTGATTACACTGCTACCCTCTCCGATGAATCTCTAATAGATTCCTACGCAGCTTCTCCTTACCAAAAATTCCGAATCAGAATCTTCAAGTGTCTCAATGGAATATTTTTGTCGCGGTTCCTCACGTTGGGGAATCTAACTTGGCCACAAATCCAGAAAGGCCCTTACGAAGGCTGTCACAGATTGTCCACCAAATTGTTAATGCGCAGATGGTCTGAATCAATCACGGGGTACAATCTGCTGAGTTACTGCGTGAACGAGTCAGTTCAGAGGGATCCTGATAATCTATGCCTCAAAATCTGGGTACATGCACAGGATTTATTCTATCAACGTGACAAACGTTCTAATATTAAAGACCTCCTTGATCAATGGAGGTATGAATTCAAAAACCCGTTCGTGAAAGAGCTTTGGGAATACTTGTTCGAAAAGCTGAAAGAGAAATCAGCTAGTGCTCAAGATATAGAGGCTATCCAAAGCATATGTTCAGCTAGAGGTGAGCAGGTTGTCCAGAAGGCCAACTTAGAAACCCTGAAGCCATTTGTGGATCCCAACGAAGTTGCTTTTGATCAAAGCCTTCTATTGTGGCACATTGCTACTACTCTCTGTTCCACCAAAGACAAACAGGAGGGTGGACGCAAGAGACAAATCAGCATGCTTGTCTCAGATTACATGCTATACCTTCTGGTTATGCAGCCCAACATGATGTCCGCCATAGCAGGAATAGGACAAAAGAGGTTCGAAGACACATGTGAAGAGGCCAAAAGGTTCTTCAAGAGGAGGGGCATTCCAGCAAAAGGGGGTGCGAAGGGTATGCTGGAGGAAGCTCGCAAACTTCTGATGAACGAGCCAACAGAACAACAACCCATTGGTGTGAAGGGGGATAGGAGCAAATCCCTATTGTTTGATGCATGTCGTTTGGCCAAAGAGTTGAACAATTTGACAGATAACGAGAAATGGAAAACTATAGCTAGTGTGTGGGTGGAATTGTTGTCGTATGCCGCGTGCCACTGCAGGCCTGCGGGACACGTCCAGTTATTGAGTAAAGGTGGCGAGCTCATTTCCTTTGTTTGGCTCTTAATGGCTCAACTCGGTCTCAGCACTCAGTTTCAAATAAAGGCTGACCCGCCCAACGTCATCATAGGGTGACTCTCACGGTAAAATTGAGAGGAGAGGGTGATCCACATATATATATAGATATATATTTATATAAATAATTGTTTGTGCTGGTTTGGTTGTTTTCTTTTTTAATTTAGCGACTGGACAATTGATGATGATGATCAGTTGAAAATTAACAGATAGATTGTTATTTTCATTTTATCAAAGTATTGATTAATGATATTTTTTTTCTATTTTTACATGATGAGAAAATATTAACTATACATGATAACCAAACTCATAATATTCCTTTATCCTCAAGGATCCTGAATATGTATGAAGACTAAAGTATTCTTGGGTTAAATAGTGGAATTGTAAGTTGTAAGTAAGTGTATTCAGCTTATATTAAATAATTACATAAAAATACTTTTTCTTAAATATTAAATCGAAGTCCTCAGCATTCAGACAACAAAAGTTGACAACTATTTATGGAAAAATTTAACAGTCGGTGATATCCATAAGAATAAATAATTTCTGGATTTCTTTTTTAAAAAAAAGAACTATTTTGTTCTATTACAGTACGTATTTTATGATTTGTAATATTTTTAAGCAATACGCGGCCGGCCAGGATTTCATTCTTTCCTTTTACTGGGAAAGTTTTAATTTTTTTTTCCTCAATAAATAAAACGACATCATTTTCACGAGGGGAAGATTCCAAAAAAATAAAATAAACCGGGTAACCCCTTCCAACCGGTGGTTTACTTGGTTTTTTAATGGTTTGACCGGTTTAATATTGGTCTGATCAGTAACCGGTTTTTTTAACCTAAACTAGACTAGACTAGAGACCAGTTCACCGGTTTTCCGTTTGAACCGGCCGATCCGATTTGGTCCCTTTTTTTTTTTCATTACATGAAACAAAAAGGGACACACACTACAAAACAAGGTATTAGTGACGGAATTTAGCGACGGAATTTAGTGACGGAAAAGTTTTATTGCTAAATTAGTGAACGATTAGTGACGGAATAAGATTCCGTCACTATATTCTGTCACAAGTCCATCGCTAATTTTGTTTTAAATGATTAGTGACAGAAATTAGTGACGGAAAATTTTTTTTACTAATTTTCATCACCAATCCATCACTACCTCTCATTTTGTGATGAGAATTAGTGATGAAATTTTTTTGTCACTAATTTTTGTCACAATTTCGTCACTAATCTGTCACAAAAAAAAAATATAAATATATAATAATTATTTTTAAAACTTATTATTAAAATAAAAATATAATATATCATTATTTTAAATAATATATTATATAAAAATTAAAAAACAAATATTATAAAAGAAATTAAAAATATATAATATACTTATTATTTTATTAAATATTTGAATAAAAATATAAATTATGAGAAATTTTTTACTAAAATATAAAAATTAATTTCAAATAAATAATAATACATTAAATTATATAATATATATTAAATTATGTATATAATATTTATTATATATATTTGTATTTGTAAAAGAATTTTGTAGGTGCTTTTCAACTCAACTGGTAAAGGCTTCAACAAGCACGTAAGAGGTCTCTGGTTTGAATCAAACACTTGTTCACAAATTGACTCAATTTTTGATGTGGCGATGATGTGGATAAGGCAATGACATGAGGGCTCATGATAATGGACATGAAGCGATGATGTGGATGCTATGATGACGTGGCTGCATAGGAGAGAGGAGGAGCTGAGGTGGCATCCAATGATGGATACGTGGCAATGACGTGGATGAAGCGATGACATGGCAATATGGAAGAGAGAGAGAGGAGTTAGTGAGGTGGCAGCCATTGATAACGTGATGGCTCATAGTGATGGACACATGGCGATGATGTGGTATTTTAAATTTACAAAATAAAACAAATTTAGTGACGGATTAGTGGCGAAAATTTTCATCACCAATTTGGGCAAATCCATCATTATTTTGTGACAGAATTTTTGTGGAATATCCGTCACTAATTAGCAACGGATTAGTGACGAAAATTTTACTAATTTTTGTGCTAATCCGTCAGTAATTCTATCACTAATTAGCGACAGAATTTTGAATTCCGTCACAAATTATTTAGTGACGATGAAATTAGTGAGGGAAAAAATTCCGTCGCTAATTCCGTCACTAACTTAATTCCATTACTAATCCATCATTAATCCGTTGCTAATTATGATTAGTGACGAAAATTCTGTTATTAAATTCTGTCGCTAATTTAATTTTTTTTTTTTAGTGACATGTCCATGTGTGATTGGAAAATTTGACATGATAGACGTAAGCAACTTGACTTAAGTTTTTTCCTTTTGTTCTTTGTTTTAAATATAATTGTATAAAATTATTTTTTAAAATAAGTTTTGGAAACAAAAAGCAAAAAAGATTTGTTTTGATAATTATTCTAAAAAAATTACATTTGAAAATAAACATACTTATATCGGATGGTGAAGCGTAAATGAGAATTTAAGTGCTCAAATGGAGAAAAAGTCATTGAACGGAGAAGAAAGTTTCCTAATTTTTTCAAACAAAAAATGAGAAATGCAAAAACAAAAAACAAGAAAATAACTAAAAATTGTTTTAATTTTTTCAAAAATATATTTCTATTTTTTATTTTTAAAAATGTTTAACTAAAAACAAATAGTGAAACAAGTTGTTTTTAGGAAAAAAATCTTTTTAAAATGAGAAAAAAATTAGGCCGGACTTGATTTCTTTTGCGACGTTTGTGGAGACCCCTTATTTGTTGTCGCCGTAGTTACCAGGTTCTCTCCACTTTCCTTTATCTCAATTCTCATCTACTTCTCAACTATTAAAATTAAAATTTTAACAGTTCAAATTTCATATTTTAAAAAATACTTTTTTATTATTGTTTTAAATTATTTTGGCTAAAATTTACTAGTCTTATTTTATTTATTAATTTATTTCAAACAATTTGTGAGATAAGAAATGAATGGAAATAGAAGAGAAGGATTTATGCAATAAGTTGTATCAAGTGAAATAACTTCTCTAAAGTAAGCATAGCCGACCAACATGTATGTATCAGCCCAAAATACATTTGGCACTTTCTTATCTGAGTCCATTTGGTGAGCATGAAAAAGAGATAGATTTTCTACTAATTGTCACTCAAAATATTGAAATATACATCTAGCTTCACCATATATCATGGCTTGTTGTTTTTTTAAATTAAGATAATTCTTTACATCACCTCTTTGTAAATTCCAAATTACTTCAACCTCTTGCATATTGGCTTTGCAAATTAAACACTGATTTTTGAGTAATCCTGGCTTTTTCAGTATTTTCCAATTCAGCAGGCTAAGCTGGTGTTAATCCTCGAGACAATGCAAATTGGTGAACAGCCTTAGTAGGTTGAAGAGGATGATTATTATCTAGAGAAACATCATTTATTTTGTATTTTTTATTCACTTGTTTAACTTTTATTCTTATTTTGCAACCTGTTCTTATCTCATCTCTAGACTTTTTAGCTTTCACATTTCGAATGTCTGGTTTTCTCATCCATTCTTTATCACAAACATAAAGATAAGAGGAATATTTTGACTTATCTTTTTTTATTCATGTTAAAGCTCAGTTTTCAAACACCAAAGCCAATTCCTCTATCTTATGTCTTCCAAAATTCCCATGTTCTTCAATTTTGTTAAATTCAATATCAAGTGTAGGAATCAAATTTATATCCATGGCATAAGCCTCCTGAAAAATTGAAAAATATAAACCTAATATGACTACAAACTCATGCCTCCAATAATGAGAACATAAAAATTCTAATCTCAAAACCAATAGGCATATATATACAAACGGAGAATATACATTTTGCTCATGAGAAATAGAGACGTATACATGAATATACCAATCAAAATATACCCTACAGCACATACACATACCAAACAGAGAAAACTAGCCTAAACTAACCTTAATATTTTCTTTTCATGAATTGGAAACCAAACTACAGAAGAATAAGTGGCATCAGCTTGCCGAAGAAGGGTATTAATAGTCTTAGTTCCAATGATCTGTAGTCCTGGGGGTTCTTCCAAAGCTAACCGAAACTAACATTGGATTATTAAAAACAAAAAATTCTTCCTTACAAAGAGACCACGCACACATACTGAACGAGCTAATAAAAAACACGTTATTTATACAATAGGAAACTATATACAGCAAAAAAAACAATATCCGCTGTCATGAATCTTGAAGATTATCAAGTTAGATTACAAAAAAGCATAAATGTAGAAGCTAAATATAAAAAAACAAGAAAAAGTCTGGGTATTGGATAAATGAACGTTATTTTACTCATCAATTTTTGATATCCAGTGCCACAGACCATTCCTCTTCTCTGAAACGTTATCCCACCGATTGCTCTGTTTTCCCGCGTCGTTTAAATCAGTTGCATCTTATCACTGTCATTGCAATTTTTACAAACAAATGGTCCAGATTTTGTTTCACCCGCCAAACATCGTTTAAAGAACAAGATGGCAGTGAATGTAAAAGACATCGAGAAATGCCAAATCCAAATTCATTTTTGAATAACGAGGATGGGATGGATCTAAGAACGCAGGCCCATCCCCCCGGGGGAGGGGGGTTGTTTTGGTGAGGGACTATTACCAAGTATCAACATTGGTTTGCAGCTTATCATTTGGGCTCACTTATCAGACTTTGGTGAGCATTGGGAGCTAGAAGTCAATGATCTGATAAGAACTAGTCTTCAGGCATTCTTAAGCTGGTAAGCTAAGTTATCAAGTCCTAGTACATGAGCAACATTTAATTCAAATATCGTATAATTAATGGAGATTGATTATTCATTCATGATCAAATCATTCCCATTAGTTGTGTCATGTCGCATCCAATATCCAATAAACAGTGAAGGGCTAACATATTTTATCTTTAAAATTTGAGTTTATTTTGGTTTTAATCTCCTCAAATTTCATTCTTTAAAATTTAGTTCATCTCAAAACATTAGTTTATAAAAATATAATGATGCTAAAATCTATTAAAATATTATAAACGACATTAAAATATGA